TTCTGTCTTGGGTTGGTGGCTTCTCACCAGAGAAGTGGAAAGGCGAGGCGGGTTTTTGTTTGTTTGTTTGTTTATTTATTTTTGCACGTCCCCCAGAACCTACATGTGGGAGAGACATGTCTCAGAAGGCTTCAGAATGACATTTAATATTAAAATGCCCCCTGCCTTTTGGACTGCGGATGCTTTAAAGTCATTTCAGGGGCACAGTCAAAAGAGCCTGCAGAAATTTCCATTGGAAGCATCTCTTGTACAAAAAGGTAAAGGTTCCCCTTGACAATTTGACCAGTCGTGTCCGACTCTAGGCGGCGGTGCTCATCTCTGTTTCCAACCCATAGAGCTAGTGTTTTGTCCACAGACAATCCTCTGTGGTCACGTGGCCAGTGTGACTAGACACGGAACACCATTTATCTTCCCACCGAGGTGGAATCTATTTATCTACTCTCATTTTTGCATTTTGTCACCAAGGTGGAATCTATTTACTCTCATTTTTGCATTTTGCATGCTTTCGAACCGCTAGGTTGGCGGGAGCTGGGACAAGCGATGGGGCCCACTCTGTCGCGTGGATTCGATCTTACGACTGCAGATCTTCTGACTTTGCAGCACAGAGGCTTCTGCGGTTTAACCCGCAGCACCACCATGTCCCGAAACATGTGAATGGAGGGCTATGAATTTTTTTGTGCCTTTACCCTTTGACCCATGAACGGAAGCTGGCCGGACTGCCACTTGAATCAGGCAGTGGCGATGAGAGTCCTTGTCCGACTGCACAGGAGAGGGGCCAAGTGGGAGATGCACAAAGCGTTTTGCCACCTCTGCCTGCCCCAGCCTTTTGCCACCCGAGACAAGGCCTGTCTCATGAAGTTGTCATCTAAAGGCCCACAGCCTGGGTCACCTTCTCTGGTCTTGTCAGCAGCCCAAGACAATCCAACGAGAAACAGCAGGGCTAGTATTTTCCATGGAATAATCCAGCTGCTGGTGTAAAAAGGAGAGCGTTTGTGCCCCTGAAGTTCTGCCTAGCAGAGAAGTGTAAGAAGGGAAATCAAACAGAACACAGATTTCCTTGAGACTATTTCTCTCTCTCTCTCTTGTGTTAGCAGGAAGAAATTCCAATCACTCATCCATCAGCTTGACACTTTTTAATCTAGAGAGGTCCCAGTGAATTTGGTGTTTTATTTGAAACCCAGCTGTCGGACTGTACTTTTCTTCTGATAATGCAAGACATCGCTGTTGTTTTGCAGACCGTGCAGAAGGGAGGAGAAGAAAAGCCCGTAGGAGGGGAATGACTTGCTGAGATTCAGCTGGTTTCTCTCCCCGCCCCCACCCCCCTTTCTTTTGAAAGGCCTTCTTTCATCAGGATATGTTAGGGCAAGTGGTTTTCGAGCCAGGATATGGGGTTGGGGGGGGTGCAGTGGTTTTGGAGCCAGGATATGGGGTTGGGGGGGTGCAGCGGGGCGGGGGGGGGAGTGCAGTGTTCCGTATAGAACTTGTCAGTTCCTGGGTAGCATCTACCAGACTTGGAGATTTTTTTTCCCCCTTCCTTTGCCGAATACTTAGCTGGTCTTTGCTCCTCTGCTTTTTGCCCTGCCAGAAAATTCCTTGTCGGGAAGCAAAAGGATGTGACTTGAACCATTTGGTTATGAACTTTTCTGGTTTTGCTGACTTCTGCCTGTCTTTGGGGCCGGCAAGATGCTTCTGCTGTTCCAAGAAATCCCGTTCGAAGTAGTACGTATGGAGTGCGCTTTTCTTTGCATTACCCACCCACCCCTGACCCACCTACCCGTCCCTTTTAAAAACGACTATGCTTGCTGCATGATCTTGGTACTGTTGAACATCACCTGATGATAGCCAACTGTTTCTTGTGCTTGTGCCTGTGTGCACATATTTGTTTTTTTTTTTAAAATTATTTTTATCTAACATTCCAGCAACTAAGAATGGCTGGACAGCTCTGTAGTTTAGATACCTAGCTTTGGAGCCAGAGGTTGGGAGTTCGATTCCCCCCTACCCCCACTGGGCCTCCTTGACAGGGGCTGGACTGGATGATCTACAGGATCCCAGCTCTGCCGTTCTAAGACTAAACTTGGATTTTAGACAAATGGTATAGAAACAAAACTGGGTTGAATCATTCGTTTTTCCTGTCTATTGGTGAAAATTTGCCAGAGGGAAGCTACGTTAGCCTGATGCCGCAAAAGTGACGCAGGGTCACGCCGTGCCTCGGCATTACGTAGTGGAAGCTTTTGTGAACTGCAGACATCACGGGCATGTGAAGACGTTGCCTCCGCCATCCATGGGAGCTTAATGCCAAAGAAGGGTTTCACTAGCCTTCAAGGTGCCGCAAGATTCTCTGCTGTCTTTTTAAGGGTTACCTTTGAGTGAGAACCAAGGAGAAACCCTCACACGCGGTGAGCCTGGCTGGAGGGGAGAATATGTCTGGAGGAGGTTGCTGATGTAGGCATCCCCTTGGAATTTGGTGAGAGGTGCATGGCGTCCTCAGAGCAGAACTGGGGATGTCGTCTCGTTGGGTCTGTGGCGGCAGATAAGTCATGGAAGGGGCTACGTTTCAAAGATTGCCCTTGATGTCTAGAAAGGGCATGTCAAATATGATGATGATGATGATATGCCTTCAGCAAGCTCTTTGAAAGAACTTGGGCCGTCTTTGTCCTGCCTGGTGAATACGCGGCCACCAACTTAAGCTATCGTCTGTGGATGTTCCTTTCATGGGCCCGGCTGGCGGATGATCTCACTGATGCTTTATAAAGCCACATTTGGGTTTTGGGGGCAGTTGGCAGTTTTTCCTCCTCTTTATCGTAAACAGGAATTGTGTGCTCGGCTGCTCCGAGAACGGCAGGAAACAGTGAGAAAGATTGCCTGTCGGGTTTTGTGGCTAATGGGAAAAACCTTCATTGCTCCGTATCTTTGATTTTGGACATTCTGAACGTTGAGGCCCCTGTAGGATGGTGCATCAGCGTTGCCTCGCTGTGGATTATCCGATGATTTTTTCCATTAGGTCAGTGTGAGGTCATTAATGAGTTTATGTTGGGCCCATTATTCCCAGATCTGTTAACTATTTTAAAAGGTTTAGCCGAGTAACAGCCTGTCTTTTGATTAATTTAATTGTCCAGTAAAACCTGCTTATTGCTGATCACTGCAAGGCCTCAAGAAGGGCATGCAGGGGTGGTGGTGGAAATAGAAGCCCCCTTTTTATGGGAGCCCATGCACATCTTGTGCATTCAGTAAGATTTGGCAGTCCCTTTTCTCCCATCACTTCCAAAGTGGGGCCTTTTGCTAAATATGAAGTGTTTCAGTGTTTGTATACACCTCCAGCATTTTGCCTGGGTCCTCTCCGTGTAAAATAGTAGTTGACCTCCCAGAGCAATGGTTGGTTGGTCTCACAGGCGGTAGACCGGCCGTTTTGGATGTAAAAAGCCACAGCTTCATCCCCAGAAGCATTTCCAAGTACAGTAGGCTGGAAAAGAATCCTGACATCCTGAAGATCCACAGCTGCCAGTCAGCGTGGACCACCCTGGCCTAGACCAACCAGGCTCTGCCTCAGGATTAGACATTGTTTTAGTGTTCTTATGATGGCGGACAATATGTATTTGAGTTATGGTGGAGTACCCACCCACTCCAGTACTGTTTAAACAGACCTGGGACTTCACATGCTAAGAAAGATACATGTAGTTATCACTTGTTAATGAGAAAGTTTTTCTATAGCCCCTTACTCTTGCATTATCAGGGCAGTTCGGTTCACACACATGCCTTTAAACGTCTTGCGCACAACCGCTCTGAGGTGGTGGGTCTTTAACCGAGTCTTGTGTAATTGCCTTTTAGGGATCACGCCGTCTCTTATTAAAAATCTGTTTCAAAAGCTGCTGAAGCAGCCAAACAAGTAACGGGAATTGGAAAACGACAGAGGAGGCCTCCTGGAGACCTGAGGCTTTTAGATTTAAAGGCGAGGACGCTTTATCTGCCCATTAGGACAGCTCTGAGTCATTTGTTTAAAGCTTAAGATCTCGCTGCTCCTTCCTCGGAGGATAACAAGGCTTCCAGTGTTTTGGAAAACATAAGCCACAATCCTTTGGTCACAGTAATGATGTCCTCAGGTTTCCAGAAATGTTGAAGTCATGGCACACCCACTTTTCCTTGAAGGAAAGAGCGAGCCGGGGCTTAGAGAAATCAAAATATTTACAGCACTTACTTGACTTCCAATTTGCTGTTACTTGTTTCTTAGCCTTTGGGCTAAGGAAGGAGTATGTGAGATAAATTGCCCGTCGCTTCCATTGTGAGCGGAAGAGATATAATAATGGGAGCAGACCTGGTTTTGAGCCCCTCTGCCGTCCCTCCAAAACTGGGCGTAAACTTGGATTTCTTATTTCTCTAACTCTCCTGAGTCAATTCTTTCTATTTTTATGAGCGACGAATGTAATTCTTTGACTGCTGCTGTTGCAGGTTTCTTATCTGCAATTCTGAAATTGTCCCCTGCTTCTCCTTCCTAATTTGTGTAATTCTACCTTTCCCACTTTGCTTGTACTGTTGTAGTTTGTGAATGCCAATAAAGGTTTTAGAACAGAACAGAACTGGGCATAAATAGAAGCGTTGTGCCAAAGTTCTGGGGCAGTGGTGTCTTTACTGAGGAATATATAGACATCAGTGTCATTGCCAGCTTTTATTTACGAATGTATTTGTGTATTGCCTTTGCGTCCCCATCTTTCCTCTGAAGAAATCAAGGCGGTGTGCGCAGGATTCTCCCCCTCCCCTCTTTTGCCCTTAGGCTGAGGACAGGTTGAACCAAGAGAGGGATCAGCCCACGGTTACTTGTGGAGTTTCAGGATGGAGTTTTTGAGTTCTAGTTTCTGCACTCCAGCCAGCGTACTGCTCCCCTGCGGTCCGGCAGGATTTTGGAGTTGCCTCTCTGGCCAGTTTGGACGGAGGGGATGGTCCTTCGTAGGAGTTCAACAAAGCCCTGGTTAACCTGGCGTCTCTGGCGTCTCTGTTTTGTGTTGCAGCTTGAGCGAAAGCTTTTTTATGGTGAAAGGTGCCGCTTTATTCCTCCAGCAAGGGAGCAGCCCACAAGGCCCACGGAGTCTTCCCCACCCTCACAAACATGCAGGTAAAGGGTGGTCGTGGGACGGCGGCGTTTCCGTGGCCCGAGGGGGTGAACAACTCGAGTACCGAAAGTGACTTTTAAGGGAGGGCTTGTGGGTAGAGACTTGAGACGGACCCCCTCCCTCCTCACAAAAGCCGCAGAAGAAGTGTTGGGTTATTGTGGGGAAGAGTCTCTAGGACAAGACACCACATGGTATTGTGTGGTTGGCAGCTGAGCATCATATATCTCCAGCAGTCAGCACTTCCACGGGCCCAGGCTCCGTCCCGCAGAGGGAAGGTCATCTGGCTGAGTGCCCACCTTCCAGTCATGAGGTCTCAGAGCTGTGGCGGGCCAGCCTTTGCCCTCTGCTGGAACATGGCAGCACCTTCTCTGGCTTTCAACCCCAAACACACCGACGTGATGCTGACGGGGTCGCTTTCAATGTAGCTTAAGTGCATCTAGAGCAGAAGGCAGGCAAGCTTCCATGAGTTTTGGAGGGCTGGATTTTCTAGTTGAGGCGCTGGAGCAGGCTCTCAACAAAACCAGGTGCAACTTGGAAGGCCATTCCCCTTCCCTGACGGCTTTCCCCCTTGTGGATCTGCAGGTGATTTGCCCCAGCACCTCCAGGTGATGATCAACCTCCTTCGCTGTGAGGACAGGATCAAGCTGGTAAGAGGAGTCGCCTCCTTCTTGGCTCTGGGATTAAGACCGCAAACTGGCCACAGAACTGTGCCCCTCTTGTAATGGATAGCCTGCTTTACATGGCATCTCCAGGACAGAGCAAAGTTCATGGCCTTCCCTGCTCCCAGAGGCACCTCCCAGCAAAACCTCATGTCCTTTGTGAGCTTGCGAGAGACACCCACGCATTATATCTCAAGAGGTTGTCAGGAAGACTATGACCCATCACCCTTTGCAGAGAAGGGTGTACGCCTGCCTCACTTCCCTGTGGATGAGGAGACAGGGCAGGGCCAAAGTTTCAGCCCCTTGCCTGGCCTACACGCCAGCTGAAGCCACCCGGAGTTTGTCTCGCCAGAAACGGAACCTGGGTCAGCTGACTCCGAACTTGAGAGAGGGATGAACGGACCCTCCATGCCTTGGACGTGACAGAAAAGAGTGTGGACTAAACACGGGAGGGAAGGACGTGGACACTGAGAACTGTCTTGGTCTCTTTTTTAGGCTGTTCGTTTAGAAAGTGCTTGGGCAGACCGAGTGAGGTACATGGTCGTTGTCTATAGCAACGGGCGCCAAGACACGGAGGAGAACATCCTGCTTGGGGTGGATTTTTCCAGCAAGGAGAGGTAAGCCCTGAATACCTGGAAATAGCTCCCATCAGGTCTGCCTTTTTTTCTGGAAGGATCAACAGTATTTTTGGAGCAGAGCTGAAGGAGGAGCTGGTCCCTGTGTGTGGGATTCTGCCTGCAGGCTTCAGGAGTGAGTGACCTCTCAGGAACAAACGAGACCATAGGGTTTGGAACATTTCTGGAAGCCACGTTCCCTGCCTTGTGTGATGGGGAATGTCTATGTTTGCTATAGTGCCTCGTTCTCTTCAGTGGCGTATCCTGCATCGAGCAGGCCTTGTTTCGTGTTTGGGAGGTAAAGGCAGACTTTGGTTGCAACTTGGGAAGCCCAGGAGTATTTGCTATATAGTGCCTTGTTCTCTTCAGTGTCGTATCCTGCATCGAGCAAGCTTTGTTTCGTGTTTGGGAGGTAAAGGCAGGCTTTGGTTGCAACTTGGGAAGCCCAGGAGTGTCTGTCTGAAGAAACCTCATTGTAGTGAAGGAGAAAGGACTCCTCGTCAAAGAATAAACATCCCCTTAATGTCTACTTTGACCCTGAATTGATGGAGGATATGAAATGCATATATTCATGTGTCAGGCGATGTAGCAAACAGGTGCTTATTTCAGCAGAACTCTGTGCCTGTGAGGCTTCCTTGTGGAAGACGAGCCCACAGATCAGATCAAAACCCCCATGGGAAAGATGCTAGACAGCCTTGAGGAGCTCTGGCCAGCCTTCATGACCCCAAGGGTGACCTGGGGCCAGTCACTCTTTACCTGCCCAGGCCTGCCTCACAGAGTGAATAGGTGGCACAGAGGCCCATAAATTTATTTATTTTATTTATTTATGGACTTATATACCGCCCCATAGCGCTACAAGCACTCTCCGGGCGGTTTACAATTTTAATTATGCAGGCTTGGTGCCACAGAGGCCCATAAATCCATGAGAGATGGCAAGACAAAAATGAAAGAAGGGAATTAACAAACCCCCCCTCCATGGCTCTCTTGAAGTCCACAGGTGGTGTTAACCTTTCCCGTTTCTCCTTCTTAACAGCAAAAGCTGCACCATCGGGATGGTTCTGCGAGATGGCAAGACAAAAATGAAAGAAAGGAATTAACAACCCCCCCCCCCATGGCTCTCTTGAAGTCCACAGGTGGTGTTAACCTTTCCCGTTTCTCCTTCTTAACAGCAAAAGCTGCACCATCGGGATGGTTCTGCGCCTCTGGAGCGATACAAAGATCCATCTGGACGGCGACGGGTAAGACATGAGAGGATGTGGGTAGCAGAGGGACACCAACCCTCACCAATTTTTTAAAAAACCTGTTTTTAATTATTTCTATATAGCCACTTGGAGAGCTTTGCCTATGAAGCTATCTTCATGGCTCTCTCTCTCTCTCTCTTTCTCTGTGTGTGTGTGTTAGTGTTAATGTTACATGGCCCTAATATATTACTATTATTATTTCTCTCTTTGCCAGCGGGTTTAGCGTCAGCACTGCCGGGAAGATGCATGTTTTCAAACCTGTTTCGGTGCAGGCGATGTGGTAAGTGATTTTACTACTGTACTAACCTCCCCTTTCTAAAAAGGTATCTCTCACCTCACTTCACGCTAGACAGTGGCATTTCACGACCGTTCCAAGTCCCCCCAACCAACAATCCAGTTTCTCCAAGGTAAAGAAGGCTCTTTCCAGCAGCAACTTAAAATGTTGGGGATTTGAACCCGGGGCCTTCTCCATGCAGAGTATGTGCTTTCCTTATTCCACTAAAGCTTATGTATAAGCCTTGCATCCCAGCTTGGTTCCCGCTCGTCACAGAACTGCTGGAGGGGATAAAAGGGGAAGTGACTCGTGAGGGCTTGGGAGCCTTTTTCACGCTTAGTATTGAGTGATAATCACAGCTATCCAGTTAATGACACTGGCATGCAGGGAACAACCCAGATGCTATCCGCAGTATCCCACCAAGAGGCATCCGGCCGATGGGCAGAGAGGGCCGCTTGCAGCATCAGCAGCTTCTCCCTGGTTGTTGTTGCGTCTCAATAAAAGAGCTGCTTCTGGGGTGCCCCCGGCCCGTTCTTCTCACCACCTAAGAGGAGCCGGCGGTGGATCAGACCGAAGGCTTCTCTCCAGTGTAGCCTCCTCACCTACGGTGGCCAGTCAGTGGCCCTGGAGGGAGGGCAGCTGGCCTGCAGGACGTGGTCGCCACAGCTCCCGGTGGCTCACATTCCCTTGCTGTCGTATAGAGAGGGTCAAACTGTCTGATCTTAGAGGCGTTGGACATCTCTCCCGAGTGGGTCGTCATCCATGTTCCATAACATTTACCTTGTCGCCTTTTTTAAAAGCCACGAAGGTTCGTAGCAATCAAGACATCCTGTGGCAGCAAATTCCACAGTCCGCCCGTATTCTGTGGGGAATGCGTTGTTCCTTTTCATCCATCCCTCATTTCCCACAACCTCGGCCTCATGGGCCGGGCTCAGATTTGCGTTATGTTCCGTTTTCTCCCCACATTTGCAGGTCTGCCCTGCAGATCCTCCACAAGGCTTGCGAGGTGGCCCGGCGGTACAATTACTTCCCGGGCGGGATGGCGCTCGTCTGGGCCACGTACTATGAGAGCTGCATCGCCTCCGAGCAGAGCTGCATCAACGAGTGGAACGCCATGCAGGACGTGGAGTCGACGCGTCCCGACTCGCCGGCTTTATACGTGGACAAGTGGGTTCTCTGCCGTCTGTTTCTCTCTTGGGAAGTTTTCTGACCTCAGAGGAAGGGTCTCCTAGAATTCTGCCCTTCAGCTGAGTCGGGGGCGGGGGGGGAGAAATGGAGGGTGGGACGTCCCAGAGCCCAGAACCATCCAGAATGTGGGACGTCCCTGTCAGCCTTTAGGGCTTGCCTTTGCAAGTTGGAGAGCCAAGCGGTCAACTAAAGATACTGGAAAGCCAGGGCGACCTCCTGCTTGAGGCGCTGCCACCTACCTTACGAGGCAGCAGAGGCTCCGGCTGTTCCTGCTGTTGCTTCTTCCCTCGGAGTGAGAACAGCTGAGGTGGAAGGGCTGGCTGGCGGGCTGGCTCACTGCTCCTCACACTTGCCAGAGGGCGGCAAGAATGGCTTTGCTGTAGGTTCTTCCTCTCAGGTTTCCATGAATTTTTGCCCCAAAAGACTGCTCCTCACACTTGCCAGAGGGCAGCCGGGGAGAGTGGCTTTGCTGTAGGTTCTTCCTCCCAGGTTTCCATGAATTTTTGCCCCAAAAGATCTGACTGCCCGCAAGCTCTCATCCAGGTGTCTGTTTTTCCCAGGCCAACTGAGAGGGAGCGGGCAGAACGGCTCATCAAGGCCAAGCTCCGGAGCATTATGATGAGCAAAGACCTGGAGAACATCACCTCCAAAGAAGTAAGCAGAACCTCCTGGGGTCCATGGGGCGCCTGCCTCGTTTCCTTCCCTCCTTTCCAGTGAGAAGGAAGCTGCCAGGCACACTGCCAGACCGCCTAGCCCCAGACCATTAATCTATCCACTCGTTCTCTTCCTCCTCCCCCTCCTCCATCACAGTTTAGAAATGTGGTGAGGACTCTGGGAGTTGTAGTCACAAAAAGTAATTGTTCCAGCCTCTGCTGTGTATCTTTCCTCTCTGGATATCAGAGCAGTAAACCCGGCTTCACAGCCCGCCCGCCCCTGTTGCGTTCTCACAGATAACCTCTGAGGTGGGTGAGGGCTTGTGACTGGCCGGGGTTACACACGGGACTTCAGAGCAGGTTCCCCTCGCTCGTGACAACCCGGCTCTTGAAGCAAAGGGTCTCTCGGCGTGATCTCGTTCCTCCGAGGGTCAAGGGTGTCCGGTCTGCATCCCACGAGGTGCATCCCGTGAGCGCTGGCCCTTCCTCACCAGCCTGACCATGAGCTCAGCGACCCATCCTGAACACAGCCTCCCTCTGCCCCTCTCTCTCCCTCTGGCCTTTGCAGATCCGGAACGAGCTAGAGAAGCAGATGAGCTGCAACCTGAAGGAGTTCAAGGAATTCATTGACAACGAGATGCTGCTGATCCTGGGGCAGATGGACAAGCCTTCCCTCATCTTTGACCACCTGTACCTGGTAAGCGGCCTCCCAGAAAAGTGGCCATCTGACTTCTGGGTCGAATTTTGCCCTGGGAAATGGGGTCTCTGTCTCTCCCCCCCTCCCCTTTTTATTCCC